ATGAGGAAAGTTAGGGAGGAAGTTGACCTCAGCTCGTCTAGGGCGGTTAATATTCGCACGGCTATGTATTGCATCTGGATTGCCCCTGCTCCTTTTGCTCCTTTATTGGACATACAGTCGAATGTAGAAAACGGTTAAGTCTGTAATGTTTTAAAAGGCTTGGTCTGGCAGAGCAGACAAATGGGCATAACTTGAATTCCATAAGCATAACGATCTGTTTTGCTTCAAACTAGACGACGTGATGAGCAAATAGCCTCTCTGACATGTTATCATTTAAAAACCAACATTTGCGACAAACTCGCGAATTCCTAATAGTTCATGTAACTGACAACTTATTTTTTTATGGTCATCGGCTAGCGACCTTATTCAAAAAAAAAAAAAAGTTAGCGGGCTTATTCACTACAGCTCCCAACCTCCTAATAGTTCATGTAACTGACAACTTATTTTTTTTTGGTCATCGGCTAACGTTAGCGAGCTTATTCCAAAAAAAAAAAAAAGGTTAGCGGGCTTATTCACTACAGCTCCTAACTACTGTAGGCATCAAATGGAAATGTCAGTTAAATCTAACCAAACTGTTCTTAAATAAAAATGTTATTTCTTAAGTTTACATTACTTCAAAATGGGTGTGCTTGCATTACCTGTAGATTAAGCTTCTGCCGTGAATGACTGTTAAGACAGATGTGGAGGATGGTGTGTCCGCCAAAAAAAAAAGGCGCGCGGCTCATCTATCCAACTGTGAGAAAACACACAAACATATAAATTAATTTTCCACTAGAAAAAGAAAATAAAAATGTGGCTTAATCACTGCACATTAAATACTGTCTTTGATAAAAACACCGAGGTAATGTCGCGTTGGAGCTTCGCGTCTTTGCTAGCTAACACAAATTAGCACTGCTTTGTTCTTAAAATTAAGTGACACCAGAATAAAACGTTCAAACTTTCAAAAGTAAAATAAATTGAATGAAACAGTTCGCTGTGCTTACCTGTTAATTTTCTTCTCTCAA